AAAAAAAAAAAAGAAAAAGAAGAAGAAGAAGATGGAAGGAATACACAGAGTCATTGTACCAAAAAGAAATGGTCAATGTTCAACCACTTCAACAGGTAGCATATGATCAAGAGTCAATGATAAGCAGCTGAGGACTCTGGACTCATAGAAAGAGAGGCATTGGGTGCTGGTGGCCAGGAGGCAAGCTTGCAGAATGTGTCTTTTGATTGTTTAAATTATTATATAATCCTGAATGTTTTTGTGTACATTCCCCACCCCCCACAGTGGCAGCAACAATGGGCTCAAGTGTAGCAAAGATTGTGACTCTGGCTCAGAACTAGGCAGTGTCTTGTTCTGTTGTTCATAAGGTCGCTATGATTCATACTGACGCGATGGCACTTAACAACAACAAATCAAGTACAAAGCTAGTGTTTCTGTAGAGGATGGGGCATATATGACAAGAAGTAGCCAGGGACACAAGGCCACCTAGTGGTGGTGGCAGATCTGGTCTGCCTAATGTGCCTGACTTTCCTCAGGAGAAACTCAGAGATTCTTGTTTTTACTATACCAGAAGAAAGACAAAGTAAGCCCATGGGAACCAAAGGGCAGGACAAGAAAGATGAGGAAGTGGAAGTCTCTAACCTGTACTCTTGCCAAGACAAGTAAGATGAGCCAATGAGCCACTTGGGGGAGAACAGGGCTAATGCATCCATCTTCTATGTCCAGGCCTGAGTGTACCCCCATCCCTCCCTCCCACACAGACTCTCCTATCTAGATGAGCAGCCAGGGATACACCCAGACCTAGTCCTTCTGCCACCTCATAGACCTCAGAGATACATGGATGGGCACTGTGTCCCCCATCGCCATCTGCTGCCCCCCACTCCTGCAGGTGAGAGTGGGAGTGAGTTCTAGGAGCCCCCTCCCCCCAAGGACCAGCAGGACAGGCAGATGGAGAGGCACTGATGTCTTTCTTTGTCCCCGATATTCCACCTGCCCACAGGTCAGAAGCCCTCCTTCGCCCTCCAGTGTCTGAGACACCAGGGCAGCTGTGAGGATTTACCAATCCCTGGTGCCTATCATCGTGGGCAAAACTCAGGGCCCAACAAGATGCTGGTGAGTTGGGAGGGTGCTTGGATCTGGAGGGGTAGGAGTAGCCTAAGCTGAATTTATGAAACACACTACATGCCAGGCCTTTCTTAAGAATGAGATTATAAATTTGCATCTTCCTCACAATACCTGTGAGATAGTACTGTGGTTACTCACAGTTCACAGACGAAGAAACTGAAATTCAAAGAAGCGTACCCAAGATCACACAACTAGTTAATGGTATAACTGAGATTTGAACTCAGGCCTTATATACTCTTTGTTGTTGTTAAGGCTGTTTAGTCGGTTCCGATCCATAGCGACCCTATATAGGGTTTCTGAGGAGCAGCTGGTGAGCTTGAACCACAGATCTTGCCATTCAAATCGTCTTTGCAGTCCAGTGCATTAACCAACAGCGCCACCCCAGGACTCCATATACTCTTACATGAACTCTAGTTTAATTTATATCCATTCTGTTTCATTCCAGTTGTGTATGGGGTCTAAAAAGTAGGTTCAGGAGAGAGTACTAGACCTTCCCACCACACCCATCAACCACTGTCTCTCTGATATTTATTCTGGCACAGGGCTCCTGGGCAACCCCTCCTCAGCAAGGTCCGCTCCTATATGCCCCACTGTTATTGGTGGAGGAGGGTGCAGTGAGGGAAGGTTACCTCAGCAAATCCAGTGGTCTACTATGCACCTCCACCTGTCTTCACATGCCTGGAACCCATTCTGAGCCCAGTTATAGCAAGAGGGGCATTGCGAACAGCCTGGTGGAAGCTGTTAGTCCAGAGGGCACCTGGGCACGAGGAGTGGGGGAGAAAGAGAGGGAATGGAGTTTGGGGAGGAAAAAAGGGATCCATTCTCTATGTAAAGAGCCCTGTTGGCGCAGTGGTTAAGCCATAATCACTCACAGGAAAAAGATGTGACAGTCTGCTTTTGTAAAGATTGTTGTTGTTGTTGAGTGCCGTGGAGTCGGTTCCAACTCATAGCAACCCTGTACAGGGTTTCCGAGGAGTGGCTGGTGAGCTTGAACCACCAGCTTTACAGCTCAAACCGACCTTGCAGTCCAGCGCATTAACCCACAGCACCACATCAAGACTCCTTTGCAAAGATTTGTTGTTGTTAAGTGCCGTCCAGTCAATTCCGACCCACAGCGACCCTGTATAGGGTTTCCAATTGCAAAGATTACAGCCTTGGAAACCATCTGGGATAGTGGTGTCACTGTGAGTCAGATCGACCTGAAGGCCATGGGTTTTAGTCTCTGCATTGTGCATGAAAGCAACCCATTGCTCTGTAATATCTGTTCAGCCTGATGTGTTCACTTCTGTCCCTACTGACTTCCCTGCACACCCTCACGGGGACACCATTGACTTCCTGTGCATACTGCTTAACTCCATGCTATCATTGTTCCCTCTGCCACCAATACCATATGTGCCCCTAGGTGCTCATCTCTGAGGGGTTGGGCCTCTTTGCCCAAGACCCACACTTTGTGGCCCTGGCCAAGCAGGAGACTGCACATGCGGGCCACCTGACCTTGGCCCTGGCCAAGCAGAAGATTGCACATGCATGTCACCAGGAAGTCACCGCCAGTGACTTGCTGGCACAAGGGGCCAGCTCACTCTATAGCGAGGAGGAGTCCATAATCTCCCGCTTTGATGAGGAGGACCTGAAAGATGAGATAACCTGCATGCATGCCCTCTGAGCTCCCTCTCCAACCCCACGACTCAATAAACCTCCTGCCCTCCTCTCCCCACAGGGAGACAGGCTTGGACAACCCCACCCTGTGTTTTGATGCCTTTGTACTAAGGGCCTGGGGCTTCCCAGAGGCCCCCATCCATCCATCCTGTTTCAGCCCTGAGCCACTGCCCACACACGTATATTTCCAGAAACCAGGACAGCCAGGCCTGATTATTCAGCGTCAGGGAAGGAGGGGGGAGGAGAAGGAAGAGACAGCAGCCAAAAAAAGCTGGAGACTGAGTGGAGGTGGGGGTGAGGGTGGGGGCTGGACAAAAACAAAGGAAAGGGGAAAGGCTATGGTAGGGCTTGAATGAGCACAGGGAGAATGTCAGAGATTTCACAAAGGGTCGGTAACGTCAGACTGAAGAAGGACAGATGGATGAAAAGGCAAGCATGAGGAAACCCAGAGGAGAGTTCTAGCAGTAGAAAGGCCGGCATGTTGAAACTGGCCTGGCATGTGATACGTCTTAGGCAGAGAAGTCCTTTGCAGGCATCAGAAATTTCAGGAGTCTAAATTGGGATCTTCCTCTCCCTCCTCCCACTGAGAAAAAAAAGAAAACCTAAATCCACTGGCAAAAGACAAGGCTGACAGCAAAGAGCTGGGCTTCTAGCCCAGTGAAGCCCACTCCTGGCTCACCTGGCTCTCCAGAGATCCCCTACAATTAACCTACTCTCCTCTCACATAAATCCCAGAGTCCTTCTGCTTCCTGCCCCACCTTTAGTCACAAGTCAATCTTCAGGATCTCATTCATTCAGTGATGATTTATCAAGCCAGGCACTCTTCTGGGTATCCCTCAGAGCACACTGAGCTGGCTAAGAAATGTGACAGGACTTGTCCAAAGTGATAGTTTTCCTCACTTTAAAGGAATTGGAGGCAATGTTGGGAATAATGCAAGATGGGGCCCCCACTGGGGAGGATCTGACTTAAGGTCTCCTCCCAGATCTCAGAATAGGGACTTCTCATGTGCATAATTTTATCAATTCAGTCAGGTCAGAAATTTGGGAGAAGCCAGAATTGAAGACTAGAACTCAGAACATAGATGTACTAAGCCTTGAAATGTAAATTGGAATTTAAGCCCTGTTGTCTAGAACAAGGACAAAGACTTGACGTGCTTGGTCTGTATGTTGAGGGAATAGCAAGTCATAGGCAAGGCACGGACAGTGAAGGGAGACTGTTGAGGAGTGAGCTAGAAAAGGTCACCTGAGCTCAGATCATGCTTGAATGTCAGACCCCAAGCGCTGGTATTTTTCCTGAAAGCCATAGGGAGGTATGGGAGGGACTTGAGTAGGGTAGTGACATAGTTAACTTTGCATTTTAAATAAATGCTCTGACTGCTGTGCTGAAAACAGAAAGGGAGATGGAGAGACTACAGATGCTAAAATTGGCAGAAATGATGGCGACCTTAGCCAGGGGAGGTAACAGAGAAGATGGTGAGAAGTGAGTGGATTCTACAGATGTGTAGGAGGTAAAACAGACCATTTACTGTACTCTTTGCTAAATGCAGTACAGTGGTTATCTTATTTAATCTGTAAAACAACCCTTGTTGTTGTTGTTAAGTGCCGCCGAGTTGGTTTTGGCTCATAGCAACCCTGTTAAAGAGTTTCCAAGGAGCAGCTGGTGAGTTTGAACCACCACCTTGTGGTTCAAACCAACCTTGTGGTCCAGTGCATTATCCTGCAGCACCACACAGGACAACAACCATGTATGTACCATTATTAAAACTATCTTCATGCCCAAGGCCATACAGGATTAAACATTTGAAATGGGATTCAAATTCAAGCAGTTAAGTGCCCAAACCCATGCTTTTTAACTCTTCCTGTATACTGTTTTCTCCATTAAGGCAATGCTTTGAAGTGCTCATTAGCTATTTATGTGAATTTATATGTGTGTTTTGAAAATGGCAATACAGGCAGTCCTGGGATAGAAACTTCTGACTTAACATACAACCTGTGTAATGAACCAACTTCCATAAAGTCAATTATACTAAAATTTCTAGTACATACAATGGCTTATAATAACAAATGGGTGCTACTTTGCAACATGCATCAGAATAATAATATTATTATTATTTCTGCATCTTCTCCACCACTTGTCTATCAGTTCTGTGGTGGCTTGTGAGTTGCTGTAATCTGGAAGCTATGCTACTGGTATTTTAAATACCAGCAGGGTCACCCATGGTGGACAAGGTTCAGATGAGCTTCCAGATGAAGACAGACTAGAAAGAAGGAGTGACGAACTACTTCCGAATATTTAGTCCTGAACACCTTATGAATAGCAGAGAAACACTGTCAGATATAGTGCCAGAAGAAGAGTGAAAAGGGAAGCCCATTTCATGATCACATCTACCTGGAGGCATTCAGAAAGCATAAAAAAC